GAACTATCATTTCCCAAATATTAATTTTCTTGATCCCAATACAGCATGAAACTACACTTATTTAGGGAAAAGATAACTCATGTCATTATCGACAAGAGTTCTAACTTGGACCAAAGAATTGCAATAAGCAAACCTTTTAACAAGAAAACTCTTCCATTATAGTGGCTATCTAGGAACAAGGGTCTTTAGAAGTCTTTTGCTGCACTTTGACTTTGCTCTTCAATGCTGCAGTTTTGTGACTTTTGTCTTTGTTTATAGCATCCTTTGTTTTTAATTTATGCACACAACAATATCTTGTGCTGCACTTTGACTTTGCACTTCAAAACTTTCATCTTGTACATTCTTACAATTTATATGCCCCTTCAAGGTCATCTAGATCTTAATCTTAACTACAATGTGTTCATGAATCAACTATGGAAAAGACTCTGGCCAAATGTATATCATTTTGAATTGTAAAATCTTGTTGTCTAGATTTTGAGAATTTTGAGTTCGCAAAGCACAACAATGAAAGGTAGATGCTAGTAAACCACAATAACTCAAAAGAATATGTAAATTTAAGCAAATACACAAATAGAGATTAAAAACAAGCATAGCACGCACCTCAAAGTACGATCCAAACGGGATGCCAAGGACCTGTTGTACAGCTTCAAACATCTGGAATAGGGAAATACTGAAATAAGTGAAAAACAAAATAAGTGAAAAACAAAATAAGTGTAGAATTGTATTATCGGAAACACACAACATTATTGAGTGTTCATGAAAAGATTATGATAAGAGAAACTACCAGGGTTTTTTAATGTCATGAGAGAACATGTTAAGTGACTGTTGAAATACCTGTTCATAACCTTCATATTCAGAATTCAATTTGACTTTTTTTTTTCAAATTGAAAAGGAAAAATGGGGATCACATGATTTCCTCAAAAGGGTAGGCTACGCCCAAACCCATGGTTACATTTGGATCCCTCTCGCTCTGTAATATATGCCTTGTACGAGCGCGCAGAGTATATACATAAGTAAAGCAAAACCTAGTTCATCACTCGAACTATGGCCGCAATAATGTTTGGACAAATTAAATCAAAACAATGCTAACACTTAACTCTAAAATAACTGTTGATATTCTTAAAGAGGTTGTTGTTTTTGTTGTTGTTATTATTATTACTCCCTCCGTCCGGGAATGATGTTCCCCGTTTGACTTTTCTTCATTTTTATGAAGTGTTGACTTTAGCATTAAAATGTCCAAAACACCCTTGCATCCCCACTACTGCCTAACCCAGTAACCCCGTGCTAGAGTTTTAGCAGCCAGCCAGCAACCACCTCCCCAGCCTCCACCACCGGCCGCCCCACCCTCTCCCCTGCCCTAACCGCCCCATCATCACTGCATCTGCCAGCCCCGACCGCCAACACCAGAATCGCCCCACAGCTGCACCACCTCCGTCAGCCCCCACCTCCATCGCACAATCTCTATGAGAAAGAGAGAAAACGGAGAGGAGAAAGATGAGAAAAAGAAGATTAAACAGAGAATCCACAAATCTAGCATAGATCTACTGTAGATCCACCGCTGCCTTAGCTCTTGCCGCCGCCATCGGGTCCACCATCGCCGCTAGACCATAGATCTAGAACAGATCTAGGAGGGGGAAGAAAAAAAGAAGCAGGTGTAGGAGGACATGGAGAAAGAAGGTTGATGAGGAGAAAAAGAAAAAGAGAAGAAGAGGAGGAGAAAAAGAAAAAGAGAAGAAGAGGAGGAGAAAAAGAAGATCGGGGAGGAGGGGGGAGAACAAGTGGGAGAGGGAGACAGATGAATCAATTGATGTGGGTGGCGGAGAAAATGGGTAACAAAAGAAGAAAAGAGATTTAATGGGAGGGGTAGTTTAGGAAAAAATGTTATACAAAGTAGAATGGGAACATCATTTCCGGACAGAAAAAAAACGTACAATGGGAACATCATTTCCGGACGGAGGGAGTATTATTTATTATCAAATATTATTTACACCTTAGCTTTCTTCTAGCACATATTATGTTTAGACCGACCATGGTTTCCATAACCATTTAATGCCTCATGTGATCATACTCCTTTCTCTTTAAGCGTCAAACTTTTCATCATCGAGAATTCTCACTTCTTCTCACCACGTGGTCCACAAACTTTTTTATTACAATAGTCATAGCCAATGTAGGAATTTGGTTCATCATCGAGAATTCTCATATCTACTGTAACCCAAACTCCTTTGCCCTAAATTTGGAGTGTGAAATTTAAAACTTAATCCACACGAGAAAATATAATGTATATCTAATTTCAGTCATTCGATGCTCAACCATGGTGCATACCTGGGTATTCACTTGGCAAACCTCAGAAAGTTTTAAGTTTTAACTTTGGGTAGTGCAATTAGAGCATCTTTATATGCCTTCAGGCCAATGAACCTCTTGAAAAGGTCTATGCTGTCATCTCGCCTATTATAATTTAGTAAAACAAATCCCTCATTTGTAGTCAACACCACATGGGACCGAACTGCTTTGGATTGGAACCATATTATTTTAAAAAAGTGTATTAAACACCTCATTTTTAGTAAAAAACACTCTTGGTCAAGTCAGACCGTGATGAGAGTCATGCTTTGTTCACTAAAAAAATTGAGTGCGAAGTCCGATCCCGCTCACTTAACTTTGTATTTGAATTTTAATTAATATAATTTTAATAAATAAACATTTATAAATTTGTCTGATCCTACAAGATACCTTTCTACTTTTCATAATGAGGGTGATGAAAACCCCTCACAAATAGAACAAAACAAATTTTCAAAGCAATAAATATTTAGCACTGGATCAAGTCTATGCAAAAAGCATGTAAAATAGAAGTTCAAGGTATTGTATGCTCTATATCTTCACACCTAAAAATGAGTTACACAA